AATTCTAACTAGTCCAACCTTGAATCTTGACTATAGATGGTTTACTGATACCGTTTTTTCTCTGTTGCTCTAGGTATCCAGCTAGCAACAGGCATCATCTACCCTATAGGGCTGTCCAGTCCTTCCATGAATTTTCTTAGCCCTACGTCTGACAAAATTGCCAATGGAAACCAAATTGCAATTGCAATATTCAATGCCCTACTGTCTCTTTTAACTGGTAAGTTGACCCACTACCTCTATGTGTTCAATCTTAAGGGGTTTTGATTTTGGGACTGTTAGCCTCCAGAATCTGGTGGATCAGTCGTGAAGCACGACGGCACATGGGGACACCAACACATGCCAGGTACAAAGCAATTGTTGCTGCCATGTATGCTTATTTCTAGAGCTAGTGGTCAGACCTGAATGAGTTTATTGACATTGCTTTGTAGACTGGAGTCTGGGTCCTTGTTTCCAGTAACACTTCTAGTGTCAAGCATTATGCCTTTGATATTGGATCCAACTGCCCAAGGGTTGATACCTATTGACCTTACTGCTGTTTCAATATTAATTTCGGTGAGCTTTCCACAAGCTGGCAATGTCTTCAGATAGCAACTACTGCTCAAACTTTGCTGGCTTCACAGGGATTAGCACCCACACTAATTATTGTGCGTGTTGCATATGGTGTATCAGTGGAAAGTGTACAACAGGTGGTCTCCATGCACTTCACAGAAGCCCAGCAACAGCATAGTACAAGTGGCATTCAAGCCACAGAAGCTGTTTGTTCACATCATGAAGCTCAGTTGTCCAAAGCTAGAAATGCAGGTGCAGTCATACCAGAGGAGAATGTGCCAGCTTCAGACAGCATAGGGCTCCCATCCAGTTGACACCTTTGAGTTGTTACAGCACTCCAAACCTAATACTAAATTCTGGACATCAGTGGTTGAGGACAAGAGACTTCTGGGGAAGAAGGCAGGATTATACCTGTATCAGAACTCTGATAGACATGTACCTGTTTTGGATACAACTGGGGGGATGGCCACAGGCAGTGCAAGCCAAATCTCAGGGTAGCTTATATCTAAAGGTTGCAGTAAATCCACCTCAGCCTGCACACTTTTTGGGTCAATGTCAAGCAGAGGACCTGAACTCTTCAAAAAGCCCTGCTCATCCCTGGCTCCTTGAATGGCTCCTTGCAGGGCCTGTTAGCTGGGCTGGTGGCTAGCCAGTTATTGCCCCAATTAGGACCATGGGAGCAAGGTTGAAAACACAACACATTCCTGTAAGAGGCCAAACCTAAAGGTTCAGAAGAGTTTAACCCAACAAACTCATCTGGGAAAATAGTCAGGAAATCTCCCAGCTTTGGAGTTCTTGAGAGAGCTACTTACACAAAATCAACTACTACCAGGCTATCCATCTCCTTCTCCCATGCTTCATCCACTCCTTCCCCAAACTCAGCTCAAAGTCAAAATGTATACAGCCCCCTGATAATAACCACAAGGAAGCTTAATCACAGCACTGCCGTGGCCAGAAGGAATAGCCTGATCATCATAATGATGTACTACACATAGTTTTTTGTCTTCTGTTTTTTGAGAATGATGACTCCCACAGTGAGGAACACTGAGTATATTCCTGATTGGAAATGAGAGAGGTTAGTGAGAGGTTGGAGTCAGAGGCACAGAAGGAGAAAGAAGGAGAGAACACACCTCAAAAAAGCTGGGGGATCTGGTTGTGGATGGAAGTCAGTGATAAGACCACTGTGCAGACAAAATTTCATAAACACATCCCAATGTTGATTAACAACTCAATGAAGGTAGGCCATAGAATGTAAATTAGCTCTGTTCTTCTGGATTTGGTTTCCATTACCAAGAAGACCACGTGAACGATCTCCGTCCACTCACCTTGAGGCTTACTGATACAGTTTGCTTTTTTAGTGCTGTCTTCATCATCACAGTGAGAGTGGTGAGGGCTCGGATTGGGTTCTTGGATGAGTGGATATTGATGAGACTGCTTGTGGATGTCAGTCCTTTGAGGTGTTGAGGTGGGGTTCGTATATAGTCTTTTTTATTCGGGGTATACAGCATGTCACCCAGAGATGATGTGTGTCACAAAGTGCTGAGCGTCTATCGGAGACGGCAGAGGCGGAAAGCGGTGATAGCAAGCTTGGAGAGGAGCAGCGGGCTTGACTCAGACAGAGGTAAGGCAGAAACTGGTCCCAACGACAAGTTAGATCTATTGTAGAGAAGGAAAGAAAAGGAAACTGTACTACTCACCTGGTCCCAACGACAAGAGGTCAAGATGAGGGACCAGGTGAAGACTAGCTAGCTTATATACCTATCCTATGGTCAGAGCTGGAGTCGGAGTGGCTACCTATGAGTTGTGTATGAGTAAGTATGAGTCAAGGATGAATAAGGAATGAGTCAATATGAGATAATGGGATGGCTGCACAATGTGGGTTAAAGCTGCGCGATGGTGGGTTAAGAAAGGGAATCGTGAGAAATAAGGATGTATAGTAAGTGACTGTGAGAAAAGAACATGTGATAATCATGTGAGTAAATGGTGAAGGGAAAAGTGGCGTCTTCATGACAATATGGAGGTAACGCGAAATCTACTGCCTAAGTAAAGTTGGCTGGTAATTGTGATTGTCCAGCGTTGATGTCTGAAGGCACGACTGGACTTGAGTCTTGAACACAGAGGACATGGGGATCCTGTACATGATGAGAATAGCATGGAAGGTGGGAGGTGAGTTTTTGAGGGAGTTCTTGGAACCACTTTGCTCTTGTGTACTGTTGTTGAGTATTGTGATACTTGGTTTTCCTATAATTACTAATAACTGTGATGCTGCGCAAATACCACCCAGGTCTGAAAGTTCTGGGCCCTATTCTATGACTTATAAAATCTGCAAGTCTATGGAATATCATCAACTTATCCCACAACCGCACAGTGACCACTGTTATATATAAGTTAATTTTGGGGCAGGCAGAGAACATTGGCCAGCTTTGGGCAGAAGAAGAAAGGACATATTAGGTATGTTGAGCTATAGGTTTAGGTCATCTGTAATCTGCACAGGATATTCAAACATATGAGGACAGTTATTTAGAAGCCGCCCAATTCCATCTTACTCTGCCTCCGTCACTCAAATTTCTTTAATGCTGAGTTTTTTTGGAACAAAAGTAGGTGTCAAAAAATGGCAATAAAATGCCAGATACAATATTGACAGCTTCCGTGCAAGAGTCATCCAATACCAACATTGTGTCGTGATAACCAGCGTCGCTCACATCTTCTGCGAATAGATGGATCAGCTGAGCTTTCATTAAATGTGCGATGTTGAGGGAGGTGAGGAAAACAATAAAAGGGTTTTGAGGCTGACAAAGAAAGTCATATCACATACCCAATGCTTTAAAGTTTAGGCTCCCTTGGTCCTTTGCACTGCCCAACGTCTATATTTTGACTTGCTGTTAATCTCTCATCAACAACCGCTATTCTCTTCCAGATGAAGGCGCCACAACGGTTGAGGAGCTCGGAGAGAGATGAAGGAACGGGCGGACATGCTTAAAGTGACTGCATGCTCAAAACAAGAGTCAGCAAAACAGCTGAGATGAAGCGGCCTTGGGACAAATTACCTGATAATCCATAGCTTTTCTCTGAGAATCTTGACGACTTGAGCTTCGATTCGAAGGGCAGAATAGCCACATTATTCTCTCTGCTTATCGAGCCTTTTACTCTCCCTTCGCGAACAGTGAAAAACATGACCAGCGCAGAGGTAAATTGTTGCTGGTGGCAGTGAGCGAAAACAAACGGTGTCATTAGGGTTAGGGCAGGTGTGAGCCAACAACCTGAGGCGATCACAAATGGAATGTGAGCCGTTCAGAGTAGCGTAGTATGGAGCGTAGTGCGCACTGTAGTACAGCCATAGTATGTCATGTGTAATGCTTTTTGCTGGTACCACAGTACGTACTATGGTTGTACTATGCTACTACTCTGAACATCCCTATTATTCAGACTTGAAAGGCACAACGCAGGGGGTTGATTGACAAGAAGGACAGACATTGACAAGCCAGACTGACCACAGTAAAGACAAACAGCTTTTTTGGGTGATATGATTGCGATGTATGAAATTGATGAGATCTGACACTCACTTGTAGTACTCGTGGATGAGTTGCACTGATCACTGATGACTAAGTGACTCACCAGCAATGACCCCAAACCAAGTCCAATAATTTGCAACTAGGTCCATACAGGATGCGTCTTTGAGGCTCCAAAGATGTGTTTTGCACTTACGAGGTTGCGGGAGGGAAGGAAGGGCTTTGGTTGACAATTCTGCAGGATCTTTGGGTTTTAGCGCGGGATCACTGTGAGAGGGTGGCGTTGCTTGATTATTGTTTCTATGTTTCGGTAGGCCAGAATACTATTCTGTCACATGATCTGCAATGGGGGGGATATGCAAAATTTTCTGAACGAAGGTGTTCTTGCCGTTCCCTCGTCTTGGGAATTTTTTCCAAGCAAATTATAGTACTCAAGGGCTTGCTATTACCTCTGCTAGCTCAGAGGTCAAAGGGAGGAGGAATGAGGCCCAAAAAACATCGGAATTTTAGACATGATAGAGATGTAACAGCTCAGGAACAGTCGTTAATCGCACCAAATACACAGTAACAAGTACATAGTCATTTGAAGGTATACTATCAGTGTCTATGCACCAAACTTTTGGGTGGGAGGGGGCAAGGAGCGAGCTTGATGGAGCAAATGAAACTGACAGAGAATTGGTGGGTGATGTACATGAGCCTTTGATTCCATCACCTGGTCAGTCTGCCAAGGGCCACCAGTTGTGACAAACCGTGACCCAAAGGAGTCGCAATTCTTGTTCCCTTCTCGGACATTGCCGAAACAATGTGGGGAGAAGGGAAAAATCCTAGAAAATCAGGTTAAGCATTCTCTAGTATATAAAATGTTTCTATCATGAAGAAATTGCGATAGGTACAGTGTAGGAGCGAGGGAGGAAAATTTCACAAAAAGTCGCAATTCCCCCTCCCAGAATAGTGGGTGAGGTGGTTACAGCGTCCGACTGTTATGGTCTCAACTTTTGTTATATTTCAATTGGAAGGTCGTGAGTTCAAGCCTTACTGGGGCAGCCAGTCGATTAATTTCCTAATTTTTACCCCCCATGAATTGTGCTGTCCTGATTGTCTACCGGGCACTAACAGTACGTCCCCCACAGTCCACCCAAGCAGAGTTTGGTCATGTAGTTAAAAAAAGGACCTCCGAACGTGGTCATTGAACTTTATACCTGATGAATGGTGTTGTTCATTGTGTCTTTTTTTGTCTCGAATCTACGGTCAGTCTTCAATCCTGACCCCAAGACACTCAAACACTTTCATTCATACTTGGGTTTTGTGACTTGTCAATGTCACACTGGGACGGAATCAAATAGGTTACCAACTATATTGATGCTTCTTTAGGTCCACGTGGGTTCTCCAAGGAACAGCTTGCTTCTCCAAACCTCACATTTGAGAGGGATTCACATTGACCCCTCCCCCACAGGCAAGATAAAACCCTGTTCTCCGAGGCCCAAACTAGAGAAATGGTGGTATGATTTCAATATGTTATTGGGATGTGTGTGTACAATGATATAGGGCTGAAACTTTGAACATGTGGTTACCATGTGATACACTTTATTGATGTGTTGTTTACACGTCTATTATTTATAGACTCTTTCACTACGACACTTGCACTCATATGAAAGATCCTGTACTTACTCAGACGGACTCTGTAGTTAGTCAGTACTCACACCTTATCTCTATGGTTTATAACAAGGTTCAGCTTTGCACCCAATAGCATTCAAAGCTGACTGAGCTTTCTCTCTAGATTACTTAGATAGAAAGCTAGTATGATTATGCCTACTTACTCACTCTGCTCTTTGAGCACTTATACTTACTGATATGCAATATGTACCATATGCTATATTCTCACTTACCTATGTTCTATGACTTGTAGATGAACAAGGACTCTTGTATAAAAGCTGGAGACTTTGTGTCTCAAATCTTTAGGACAATCTACTCGATTATCACCTCTAGCAAGCATCTACTAGAACACAAGAATTCTCTTGTAGTCAATATGTGAGGTTTTAGTTTCATCTCACTGTGCATTTAACTATGCTGGCTCAATAGAAACAGGTTTTAGCGTGGTCACCATGATTCTTGGACCCGTCCTTGGAAGGAGATGACATGATGAGCAGCGAGGGGGAATTGATATACTCATACAGGGATTCAGTTGGAAAAGCAGGAGGTAGCGCCATTTGACACTATAGTCTCCCCATTCATGAGCTTAATCTCTTCAAACCCATTTGGTCAATAGTTTTTTCCGTTCAGTGTTTTGACAGGCAAAAACAAGGTGATGAGTCCACTCCCACGGCTGTTGAGTTGGGGTAGCTTATCACTATTCGAACCTCCCCACCAGGAATTTAACCCGACCTCCCCCGGCGAGACAACCACGAACGAATTGGCCAAGGTAATAGTTATCGTCGAGAAAACCAACTCTTGACAGTAAAATACCATAAGTACCCAAAACCATCAGCGGAATAAGACCATGTCCTGCATAGTTCTCACTACAAACTGGAATCAGGTGTGCAGTGGTAAGGAGGTGTAGCAACATACATTACACGGGTCTGCTCACCCATCTTATTTATTTTGTGAAGAGAACACCTGTCATGGACGAGATGTGGCAAGAAACAGGGGGATTTGGTCAAACCCATCTACGAGTAGTACCATTGTTCAAACTTTGAGTGATTCTCCTGTTTGTGTCTACAGCTGTCATGAGACAGATGTAAAAGAGGGGAGACCGAATATAACTACCTATCAGCCATAGGTTTCTCCACTCCAGGGCCCAAAGGATAGGCCCAGCTCCGTATCATTCAACTCCATGTTTTTGCCGTTTGGTAGGGAAGCAATATAACCTGTGCATCTCTTTCCCCCGTTACATCCCCCAGTCAAGTCTCCTGCTGTGGATTTCAATCTGTTTTCCTCTACAGTGTGTGTGTGTACTACACACACACCCTCATCGTACACACTGGGTATGATGAGAGCAGAAAATGAGTTTTAGCATACGCGATACTCATTGTAGGTTTTAGACCGTTGCCATAATCCTCCAAGAGAACACTGGTTTGAGAAGAGGTGACATGACAAGGGTAATTGATATATTTACTACATACAGGAACTGAACCCAGTAAACCAGCAGGTCTACCATGACACCATATTCTCCCCTCACTCTCAGATTTGAAGGGGGAGAAGAAGCCCAAGACGGATCAAACCACCAGCCATAGAACTACTTCTTACTGCTCAACCCCATGTTTTCACCATTTGGTAGGTCTGGACTTGTGAAATGATATACCCCACGACTTTCATTCCTTCATTACGTGCCCCATGGCTGAGTTGGTTACAGGGTCCAACTGTTATGTCCCAGTTCACCCTAGATATTTCAATTGGAAGGTTGTGAGTTTGAGCCACACTGGGGCAGCTAAGAGTCACTGTCTGCACTTTTCTGTATCTCTCCCATACTTGTTCATATCATATTCAAAACAACTTGGGCTTGGTGGCCTGTCACATACAAAGTATGTACTAGTTGAACAAAAAGACTTCCTGGCATTTTCGACGCATTACAGCGGTAATAATAATTGTAAACATGTTTTCATCTTTTCTCATTCTGTGCCTTTATCTATACCAAACACCCTGATTTGGAAGGAGTAGAGACATGTGTCATTCAAGGCAGTGGCTCCGCCTCACTGGGGAAGGGCCAAGGAGTACTTTTCTTCATATCATTGGGAAAGAGGGGTACAAACACCTAGTATCCAAGTGTGAAATTTAGTCCCCTCAAGCCGAACACCAAAATTTGAGTCCTGTACCTTTGCGTGTCGTTTAGGCGTTGGGCCCACCCAGTCCAAATTGGGGTAAATTGTGTTTGGTATAAATAATGGCACGGAATGAGAAAAAATGAGAAAGCATCTACAATAATGGCTGTAAGAGGGAATCGAACCCCCGGCGGGTCGAGTCCCAGATATTGACTATTGCCCTATGGCAACAACCCAGGTTACCATTACCCCATTAATGCTTCTTTGCGTGTACGTGTATATAGATATCATGTATCAACTTGAGTATGGAAGCAAATGACATATGAAGGTCAGTCTGAGTGAGTATTCGAGTGTAGATTTTATATGTTTCCGAAAGAGCTAGTAGACAAGGAGATGAGAAAAAAGATAAGCTTTCACTGAAAACTCCATCTGCCCCAGTGAAGCTCAAGCTCATGACCTTCTGATTGATAATCTGCACTGCGTTTTCCTAGTGATAACAGTCAGACGCTGTAACCAACTCAGCCATGGGGCATGTACCAGTTCAGAAAATTGAGGCAATGAAGTATTGCCCTCTTATTTCAGATCTGTAGTTCGAACAGATGATAAAACAGGCAAGAGAATTCTGATTATTCAGTACATACGCTGGCCTATTTATACAGAAAGAGTACCAGGCAGCCAAGTCTGTTGCTACAGTGTCTGGTGGATACGCTACAAGAGATAAATACTAAACTACACTGTCTGGTGGATACTACAAGTCTGTCTGAGTCAAAGTCAGTCTGTATGTGGAGAGAAGTGGGGAGAGCACCGGTTGATGTTCTCGGCCAGGTACCAGTATTAAGGATGTGGAAGGGAGCATATGGCCCGCAGGTCCGGGGAAACATACAAGTCCAAACACCAGGATAACAGCAATATAACACCACAAGTGGAATTGGAATAATGGTGTCATTGTCGTCATCTGCAGGATAGGTTTATTTCCGACTCACTTCTCCCAATCTGAGTCAACTTGTCCACAAACCTCCACCTCGGGTTCCCCACAGCCCCTTTTTGATGTTCCTTGGGGGTATCGGTATTGTCATCAACAACAGTAACAGTGAATGGGATATGGTCCAATCCAAGAGCTCCGCACCACACAATTGCTAACAGTTATGCGGGGAGCCAGTCTTTGGTTTCTAACTACCACCATCACAATGAGTCCATGAAGACATTGACAAACTGGAACAACATGACTATCACGGCCTAGAAATATGGACAGCGCAACTCAGAATGGTACAGTCGCTCAAAAAACTGGCCAAATGTTGGGGTACCCCATAAAGAATGGCCCATATCTCCATCATGAAGCATGATTACCTAATACTCTAGATACACAAAATGGACCCTGAAAGCATTACTTTCAGGTGCAGTTTACCCCATTGGATCAGCTCCCAGTGTGGAGATATTCCACATTCAAGTCAAAATTGCATTTGGCCAGTTTTTTGACCGGGGGGTCAAAATCAGTAATGTTGAGGAGTAATTCGATTGTGTTGTAAGATATGACATCAGTATGACTTCAGACTTTTGACAGCATCATCTATGATGTCTTGAGTGACATCATGTACTCCACTGGACATTATAAAAGGCTTGAGCATCTTTGAGATGGGGCACCAACATGCGCCCCCTCTCTAAAGCTAAACAAAAGCTTATCCTGGAACTTGCTGCAGATCCCAGCCTTTCTGCCAGGGATATTGCAGCCAAAGTGCATTGTAGCAAGACCACAGTCACCAACTACATCAACAAACTGCTCCCTGACAAGGAGAACCCTTGTGGTGGCCGTCCCAAGAAACTCAACCCCTGTGATGAACACCATATTCTGACACAAATCTGCACTGGTGCTTCCAAGGATGCCTCTCACATGACCCAAACACTCAACACTGTCCTGGACTCCCCTATCACTCCACAAACCACCAGAAATCTCCTTCACAAGCATCATATGTATGCCACAAAACAGAAAAAGAAACCACTACTCAAGCCATACCACAAGTGGGGCAGATTGGCATGGGCACGGAAGCACATGAACTGGACAGTGGAAGACTGGAAAAGGCTTCTATTCACAGATGAGTCCAAGGTGAACCAATATGAGTCAGATGGGAGGTCATATGTGTGGAAAACAAAGGGAGATCCACTACTCGAGCAGGAGGTGAAGGAAACTGTGAAGTTTGGGGGAGGGAATATAATGGTTTGGGGATGTATGAGCTGGAATGGTGTGGGGCAGTTGGTGGAGGTTGAAGGGAGGATGGATGCACAGCAGTATGTGGACATTTTGGAGGAGCATTTGCCAATTAGCAGGGAAAAATCTCAATCTTTCTTCTGACGAATTCATCTTTCAACAAGATAATGACCCCAAACACACATCAAAATTGGCCTCCAAGTGGTTCAAAGACAATGAAATTGAGGTTATGGAGTGGCCTTCCCAGTCTCCTGACCTCAACCCCATTGAGAACCTTTGGAAACACCTTAAAAGTCGACTTACAGGCTATGATGCACCCCCTTCTGGAGTTTATGAATTGTGGGACAGGGCAGCAGAGGAGTGGGTGAAGATTGAGGTGGAAGTGTGTCAGAAGCTGATAGAAAGTATGCATAGACGGTGTGCTGCAGTCATCAAGGCCAAGGGAGGCCATACAAAGTACTAGAATGTAAAATCCACTGATTTTAACCCCCCAGTCAAAAAACTGGCCAAATGCAATTTTGACTTGAATGTGGAATATCTCCACACTGGGAGCTGATCCAATGGGGTAAACTGCACCTGAAAGTAATGCTTTCAGGGTCCATTTTGTGTATCTAGAGTATTAGGTAATCATGCTTCATGATGGAGATATGGGCCATTCTTTATGGGGTACCCCAACATTTGGCCAGTTTTTTGGGCGACTGTACATTTCTTATTGCTGGCGTCAGCATAGCGATATTTCTGATGGTTTTTGGCTCGTTTTTCGATACCCAACAGCAAGCACAGGCTTTGAGAACCTGATGGTAGATTTTATAGCGGGGACTATCGGCATATGGACACGTTTGGCCTGGTCATTTTCATTTGCAGGCTAACAAACCCATTCGTTGTAAAGCGCCACTCGCGGTGTATAATAAAATCTAACTCGTAGGTCAAATCCTCCCAACACTCAAGAGTGTAGCTGAAGGGTGCGGGAATCGGGGATCGGCGTTGATCGTAGGTTCCGCTCTTAGCCAGACTGCAATAGTAGGCTGAAGGAAATCTGACTCAAGAAACTATCCAACTAAGGTAGCTTCGCCTCTGAAACCAGTTCGGAGGTCAAAAGTGGGGTTCGGAAGAGAGGTTTATAGGTTGTTTCGGGGAGTGTAGAGTTTGTTTGGTGCTTCGGAAGTGCGTTCTTAGGCTTCAACTAGCTTCAGAACCACTCGAACAGCGAGGGGCAACAAGACAATCAAATCAAACAATGGCAATAAGACTCCAATCAAGTCTGTCAATGACCGAAGACCAACTGTCAACGGCGAACAATATCCTCAGCTCAATTAGCTTCGGAGGTTCAACAATAGCTCAGCCAGTCAAGTCAGTGTCGCAGACAAACAATGCAAAGTCAAGGTCAAGCAAGTGTTCAATGGATTTTCTAGGTTTGGGCAAACAAAGTTCTATTCCGTTCTAATGTCTCTCCAGAAGCGCTCCCGAGTCAACTGACTACCCAACAAGTGGAATAGCTTCGTATCCTCTGAATACTAATCGTACGGATTGCTTGGGGATTCTTGATGAAAACCCCACTGTTTATATACTCTAGGATGCTCTAATTCTACCAAATTGTACAAATATCGAATAAACCATGCCTCGGAGGCATAAACTACCTACTTTGGAATATACTTGGAGAGTTTTGTGTTTAATCTACGCTTTTGAACCCCAAAGTCAAAACCAATAATTTGTTTCGGAAGTATCATCAGCCTTGAACATTCTCTAACATTCTTTTCTTCCGGGTCTCTCCTATCAATGGTTCCGTTCTGCCTATCTGCCTCCGCAGCATTGATTCTCCGGTTCTAGACCCTTCAATAGTCATAGGTCATCCTGTTCTGTCTGCCTCCGAAGCATATACTCCCTTTATCTGAAGCAAAGTACGTGCCTCCGAAGTGCTACTAGATGCCTATATTCATGGAGTTACCCAGCCGTTCTTAGACAGGTCGATGTCCTTCCATAGCTCGGATAATTCTGACGTCCTGCCATCCATATGGCCGCCCCACTATATCCAATCTTGGTGCCTTGGATACCGGGTAATAGTTCAATGGTTCAGCCAGAACTCCTACTCGATTCTTTGGTACACCATTCCTTTCTTTCTAGTCCCTTGCCTCCCAGTGCAGTTGAGCACTGTGTTTTGCCACCAGCACCAACTATGCCCTTAGTACAGTCAATATCTCCATGTACGAGTACAAGGGAGGTACCTTGACGGTGCAACCCCTTCGATCACTTCTCGATCATTGTTTAGCGCCCAGTGCCTGGTTCGGATCCACGCCTCCGAAGCGCTAATTTCCTAGTTTCCGAAGTAAAATTTCCATTTCAGCGGCCAGTCCAGAGGTCAGTAAAAGCAAGTGCTAGGTTGTCCCAATTCCTTGCTTACTTTTCCCCGAGCGTACTATGGCACGCTTGCATAACATTGAAGACCACTTTCGCAACTTACTCTATAGTAAGCCTTTCTACTTTTCTAGATTCCGAGGCGGCCTTCTGACTTCCTCTCCAGAGTTGTATAAGCTCTGGTGGTATCCAGAAGATTACTCTGATAAGATCAAGGAGCGCCGCATCATCCTACCCATTCCACTCGACGCAGAACGAGAAGCTATCCTCGGAATCATCTTCCAGCAGTTCTTCCTCAGTTGCCACAGATCCGTCTACTGGGGCTACGTGATTCTTACGACATGATCCAGGACGAAATCTATCTCTGCAAGGACACCTTTGACCACTTCATTCCTCACGACGCCAGGTCTGTCATCAACATGGTCGCCGAGTCCATTGCTCGAGTTGGTTTCCTTGACTTCAAAACCGCTCGCACTCCTGGAGCCGTCAACGCTTGGATCGACGCCGTCGTCAGCTGTGCTGAGTGCCCAGCGCCTCCGAAGCTTGACTATACCAAGCTCTCGTTCTTCAAGTACTCCCCTGTCATGGGTCGTTGGCTCTCTCAATCCTTTTCTTTCTATAATCCTATTTTATGCGATCCATTCTATACCGATTATCTAGATCATGGAACCTTCATTGATTCTTATTATCCTGAAGATTCCGACGTAGATAATTACTTCGGTTGGGATGAGGTAGCTCTAGCCAATATGGATGACTAGCGTAACCTGTAGTATACCTAGTATACTTGAATCAATCATGCTTCCAAAGCAAGGCCTCGACCTTATACCAAGCTTCTGAGGCTCGACTTAGTCTCGCTTTCCAACCATCCATGCTTCCGCGGTGACCTCCTCTGTCTATCCATACTAGTACGGGTCTTCGTTAAGTCTGATTCTGTTATTCTAATCCTTAGTACGATGCCTCCGAGCCACTGGAGATAT